ACATGGCTTGGACGGCGGCCGCACGCGACGTCGTGTAGCGTGTGTGCTGCGTAAAGAGGCGCTCGTGGGCAAACGAGACAAGCTGGACGACGGCGTCCGGGAGCGGCGCCGCATCGATCGTCGGGTCCACGTCGGCGGGCGTCGCGACCAACGGGTCTTCCAAAAGGTCCGAGAACGCCTTGGCAAAGTCGGGAAACTGCTGCCGGTACTCGCGCTCGAGGATCTGTTCTTCCGAGTCGATCTCAAGTGTCCGGGCCTTGAAGCGGAAGAGCTGCTCGTCCTCTTCGCGTTTCTTGTCCATTTTCGCTTGGTTTTCCGTCCAGAGCGTCATGTAGCCGTCAAAGATCGACTGCGCCACCGCGAGGTACGCGCCGTTGGACGCCGACTTGCGACGGAAGAGCTGCAGCTGGTCCGTGTTTTGAAGCTCGAGCTGGTACAAGGCCGTCGTCAACCGGTGCAGTCGCGGCACGTGGTGGGCGTCCAAAACCGCGCCGTGGTCCAAGAGCGCCGACGCCGTCGTTGGCAGACTCGCCGGACTCGGCACACTGAGTAGCGTCCGCGCCAGAGACGAAATCGCCGGCTTGTCCTGCGCCGTGACGACGCTCATGAGCAGCGAGAGACCGTCCTTGGCGTGGTAAATCGCCGCCACCACCGGCTCGATGACGTCTTCAAAGACCACATATTTGTGCTGGAGGCGACGCACAAAGCTCTCGGTGGTCTGCTGGAACATGATGAGCTCGCGGAGCACTTGGCTGGAATCGGTCGCGTTTGTCGCGAGCGCTTCGCACCAGCCGACGACCTTGGCCGTCATGATGGTCGAGCCAAACCGAACAATCTCCTGGAAGGCAGCACCAAAGAGCGCATCGTCGCACGGACGCGCAATCGCCTTGTCGGTGAGCGCCTCGACCTTGGCGATCGACGCGTCAACGTTCTCGGCGGCGTAGGCCTGCGGCGACTGCGCCTGCAACACCGTGTCGACCGTGTGGCGGCACGACGCCCGTGCAATCTGCTGCAAAAGCACGTCGCGCTTGATGAGCGGCAGCAAGGCAGGGTCGAGCGGCGACGTCGGGGTCAAGAGGCCAAAGCGCCAGAGACCGAGGAGCGTCCACTGCACACCTTGCTGGCGCATCGAGCCGCGCGGGAGGCGCGCCGAGAGCACAAGACACGCCTGGAGAATCGGGAGCGACGCAACAAACCGAGCGTCTTTCGACGTCGCGAGCAGCGCCAGCAGCGGGCTCGCATCGCCACTCGAGACATAGACCGCCAGCGCGTCGTGCGCGGTAGGCACAAACACCAGGATGGTTGCCGAAAGCAAGTGCCACCAATACGCACCGCTGGTCGCGTTCAGATCCGGGCACTCGTGGTGCTCGAGCCAGTGGGCGACCGCCTGCTGGAGCTTGGCCGTCGCGGCCGTCACGTCGACGATCGGCGTCTGCTTGAGCGGCTGGAGGTAGTGCAGTGCAAGCGTCGTTTCGACCGCCTGGTGCAACCGCAGTAGGCCGCCCGTCGACGTCAGCGCCGCCTCTTGGCTCTCCGTGTGGTACACACGGTTGGAGATCTTGTCCGCGTGCACGATACTGCTGTTCCAGAGCCGATCGTGGAACGACACAAAGATCGACTGCAAATGCTTGGTCACCACCCGCTTGAACTCGACGTGGTCGGCAAGCGTCGGCGCCTTGCTCGCGTCGACGTACACGTGGCCGCGCCAGAGCACGTCTTGGTACGGCACAAGCGTCACCGGCGACCGCGTCGGGACGAAGCGCTGCAGCGGCAGCCACTTGTCAATGCAGCCGAGGACCACCGGCACTTTCGTCGCAAACGACGCCAGTGGCGCCACGAGCAATTCGGAGAGCAGGGCCACAATCTGGTGTTCGAGGCGGAGATACAAGAGCTCCCGGAGCGGGCTCAGCTGGAGCTGGATCCACATCTCGACGACCTTGCTGTTGTCGTCCGCGAGGAGCAGCACCGTCTTGGTCTCGCCGCGGTCCATGTCGTCGTCGGGCGGCGTCAAGTGCACGAGCATGTGCTTGTGCTCGGCGGCAAACTTGGCTTGCATCGCATCGTACGACGCCGAGAGCGTCTTGGGCAGCTGCTGCAGCGTCGCAAACGACTCGTTGGCCGTCTCAATGAACCACGCGTACGTCGTGAGCGCGTGAAGCAGCTCTTGGCGGAACGCGTACGGCACCGAGAGGAGACTCGAGGGCGTAAACTCATACACGGACGACGTCGTGCACAGCATATCGAGCAGCGACACTTGCTGCTGGTGGCCAGCGGCGGTGAGCGGCCCGGTCGCCGTCGCGGCGAGGCCCTCGACGGCCGAGATAGCCGACCACGTGGTGAGCGACGGCGGCAGCTGCCGGTGGCCACCGCGCTTCCAGAGCGTGTCCTTGGAGCGGGCGACGCCCATGCAGGTCGTAATACCAAACTCCATGCGCTCGAGCATGTCCTTGGCGTGCACAACCGCGGTCGAGAGCGTCAGCACATGCGTCTCGAGGTCGTTGAAGGCCTTGACGAGCCACTTCCAGACAACCAAGAACGGATGCCACGGGAACACGCTCGAGGCAGATGCAAAGACCCGGCCGAGCGCGTACCGGAGGTCGATCACCTTGGCGACGTCCGCCACGTGGCGCGCCGAGAGCACTTTGTACATACTCAACTGCACAAACTCGTCCACAACGGCGTCGAGCGCATGCAAGGTCGGGTAAACAATCGGGATCAGGTCGTTCTCGACGTCGACCGAGTCGGCGCCGTGGAGAAAACACTCGTACGACACGTTGAGAAGGGTCGCCGCCGCCTTCTTGGTCGTCTTCTTGAGCGCGCGCTTGGTCTTCTTGGCCGCCGTCGTCACCTCCGTCGTCGCGAGACCCAAGAGCACCTGCTCTTGGAACCGGGGCCACCACATGTGTTGCAGCTACAATCTCCATTTTAGTATGACGGCCAACGACATTCAAGGCACGTACCATCTCGAGCGACTGCACAAGCGCGTCCACTGGTTGCCACTGCGCATCGACACTCGCTGCGTCCGACGCCGCCTGCAGCAGCGCCGTCTTGAGCACGTGCAGTGCCGGCGGGTTCACGACAAGCGACGAAAGGTGCGGGGCAGCCACGGCCGCGCACGTCGTAATGGCCGACGACAGGCCGTTGAGGATCGACTGCAGGAGCACTTCCGACCCGAGCCACGTGCCAAACGGGTGCGCGCTTGGGGCATGGAAGCCCGACGGTTGACCGCTACGGTACAGCGCCCACGGAAGGAGGTGCGTCGCCATGGCGGCGGTCGCATCTTGCAAGCCGGCGGTCGCGCACTGCGTCCAGACCGCTTCGTCGTTCAAGAGCAGATGGCGCGGCCACTTGTCCGACACCGTCGCCGTCGTCCAGAGCTGGACCCATTCGATGAGCTGGCTCGGCGACGACGCCAGGTACACGGGCAGGCGCGCATCCCGGGCGCCCATGCCACGGACTGCGTCCTGCACGAGCATCTGCGTCGACACGGCGGCCGTGCCGTCGTCGGCGCCAATCTCGATGCTGCCAAACGTCGTGCCGTACACATCGTGCGTCGCGAGCTCGAGCGCTTCCGAGAACGCGACGCCATGGTCCACGAGCGCCTGCACGAGCTGGCTCCAGTTGACGACGTGGCGCATCGAGATCGACTTGTCGAGGCTCGCCTTGTCGAAGTGCACAGCGTGGAGGCGGTCGTAGACAGCGACGGGGTACGCCACCGACGTGGCCGCGCCTTGGACGAGCGAGACAAAGTCCATCTTCGGGCTGCAGGCCATATCGTTGGGAACGAGCGCGATTTCAATGCAGCGGTTGCGCATGGCCCGGGACACTTCGCCAAACTGCGCGTCCATGGCGAGAAAGATGCGGAAATTCTTGTGGGGCTTGACCACGCGGAGGTTGCCGTTGACGACACCACACTCGTTGACAAGGAGCTCGCCGTTGATCTCGAGCAGCGAATTGAGACGGTCGAGCACCGACGCCGAGCAAAAGTTGACGTTGTCCAAAAGAAGCCAGTCGCCGAGCTCCATCGCGCGAAGCAGCGCACCGTCGACCCATTCAAAGCAGCTGCTGCGCGCCGGCGACGCCACGAGCGTCCGAATGCTAAGCAACTGCGCGTGGATCGACGCGATCCCGTCAGGTGACGGTGCATGCGGCGTGAGCACCGACACGACATGGTCCAATAGATCCAAGAGCATCGGGTCCATTTCGCCCTTGTGCGCCTTCCTACACAAGAAATTACCCATGAGCGACAGAGGACTTCGCGTAAAAAGCTGTACCACGCGGCTTGACGCTGGTGCACCGCCGCGACGGCTTGGGTCACGGCGTTGAACTCGGTCGTCTTGGTGGCCAGCAGAAGCTTTTGCTGGACGACAGCAACCACGTCGTCAAGTTCGCGCATCGCTTCTTGCACGCGGCGTTGGACGTCGACTTGCTCGAAACAACCGAGCAGCTCGGTCGCATCCGTGCCCGTGCTGAGCCCAAGTTCATGCAGCTTGCGACCCGTCATGGCCGCGAGGAGTCGCACGATCGCGGTCTTGCCTGAGCCCGACGGACCGACGAGCAGCGCCGGCCACTGCAAGTGCAAGCAGTGCATGAGCGCCTGCATTGGCTCGAGCCACTGGTTGAGGAGCGGCGGGAGCGCGTCGAGGTTGGGCAAGACAGCGTGGACGCGCGGCAGGATCGCCGTCCCGACCTGGAGATACGTGGGCGTGAGCTGAAACACCGGTGGTGCCGGCGCCGACGGCCCAAACGCGGCCGCGCGCTTGGCCTCGATGATGGTCCGGTCCGCATGCGAGCGGAAGCGGGACCCGTACAGCATCGGGATGAACGCCGAGACGTCGTACGGCGGCGCCTGGAACTTCTCAACGAGCGTGCACCAGCGAAAGACGTCGCGGAGGTTAAACTCCCACGGTGCGCCGTGGCGGCCAAACGAGCACGCGACCATCGTCTCGTGGTGGACCTCGCTGTTGAACGCGATCATCTTGTGCACGTCGTGAGCTGGAATCGACGGGTACAAGGCCGTCGCGATCACACGCAGATCGGTCTCATGCAGCGAGTCGACGACGACGCGCGTAAAGCGGTTCAAGAACGACTTGGGCAGACCCTTGCGCCCGCCGCCTTGACGCAGCGGGTTCTGTGCCGCAAACACGCGGAACGTCTTGGGGCAGGCAAAGCTCTGGTCGATCTCGGGAATGTACACCGTGCCACGATGATCGAGACACGCGTTGAGACCTTCGAGAACCGACTGCGACGCCAGGTTGAGCTCATCGAGCAGCACCCAGTGACCGGCTTTCAACGCCCGCAGAAAGACACCGTCGCACCACGAAAACGGCGACGACGCGTTCGCATCCGTCGACGGCAAGTCGGACCCAAAGAGATCGGCCACGTCCGTTTGCTCCGAGAGGTTGATACGCACGAGTGTGTGCCCCGAGAGCTGCGCGAGCGCGTGGATGAGCGACGTCTTGCCGACACCTGGACTGCCCTCGAGCAAGATCGGGCGCGGCACCTGCAGCGCACGGAGCACCCGGTGGAGGTTGCCGAGCGTCGTCGGCGCCGCGAGCGAGAACGGCTGCGGCGTCACCGGCTCGGGGCCCTTGGCGATCATAAACGGCGAGACGCCACAGATCGCGCCGTCGTCGACCCAGTCCATGGACGCTTGGACCATCGGCGCGCTCGGAAGCGCCGCCGAAAGCATGTCATAGGCAGCCGAGCGCGCCGTCGTCGCCGCATGCAACGACTGCGTCGAGCCCAGCCCAAGACCGTCGAGGACCGCGAGGGCCGCGCCTTGCACGTACGCGAGCGCCGGGTCGAGGTCCGACGCATTGACAAAGTCGAGCCACGAGAGGAGATCACGCAGCGTCACCTTCCAGCCGTTGGACGTAAACTTGGCGTTGAACTGCTGCACAAAGGTGAGCACGGGGTCTGCGAGGTGCGCCGACGGGCCCGGCAGCCGATCGCGAATCACGATCTGGAGGTCGTCGAGGCGCGAGAGACTCGGCACCCAAATCTCGGTGAACCGGTTCCGGAGCGCGGGCGAGAGCTCGCGCTTGCCAAAGTCACCGCCCGGGTTCATCGTCGCCAGGATGCGCCACGGCTCCGCCGCCGTAATGTGCTCAGCTGTGTCGCCCTTCTCGGCGAGCACGAGGCCGCGCGACGGTTCCAACACCGAGTTGAGGCGTTCGAGGACAGCGTCGTCGGCCAAGTTGATCTCGTCGACAAGCAGCAAGTCGCCCGCCTTCATCGAGCTCACGAGCGGACCGTCCACCCACTCAAAGAGCGCGACCGCCTTGGCCTTCAGGCTCTGGATCGTCGCGTGCAGCTCCTGCAGCACCGTATCGTCCGCGTTGAGCGCGAGCACCTTGGGCAAGAGACCATCCAAGACACCACCGATCGTCGCCAAATTCAAGTCGGCGCGGAGCACCGACGTGTCGAGCGTCTCCGGGTAGCTCGCCGAGACATGCGCGTCGAGCTGCGCGAGCGCGACCGTGAGCTGTCGCAGCACCTGCTCCTTGGCGCGCACCGGCCGGAGGCTGCCGAGAAAGTCGGCGGTCTCCGTGTGCTGGTGGCAGTTGAGAATGTGCAGCGTCTGGTCAAACAAGAGCGAGTAGAGCTGGCACACGGTCGTCTTGCCGCAACCGGTATCGCCGACCAGCAAGATCGGTTCCTTGTGCTGGAGACACCGGCCGACGAGCGCGAAGAGCCGGCGCAACGACGACGTGATCGAAATGGACGAGAGACCGCTGTGGTTGCCCTTGGCGTCGACGTCGTTGAGCTTGGCTTGGACTTGCGCGAATTGCTCGGGCGTGCCCCACACCGTCGCCGGCGTGTCGCCAATCACGTTCGTCGGGACGGCGACGCCGTTGTAGAGCGCGTCGAGGTCGATTGTGACGCCGCAGCGCTTCTCGAGCACCTGCTGTACCACGAGCTTGTCTTCGTCCTTGCGGAGGCGCTCGGCGAGAAGGAAATACCCTTCTTCTGCGACACGCTGCTTGGTCGTCGGCGCTCGCTGCGCCCAGCGGAGGAGGTCGCGCGTCGTGATAAAGCCGGCCTTGCCCGCAAAGACGCTCGACTGCGCGCGGACGCGCTGAAGGTCGAGCATGATCTCAATGAGAAGGTTGCAGTAGCTCGGCGGCAGCGCGCTGCGCTCTTGCAGAATCATCTGGAGTTCGTTCGCAGGCACTTCGTCGACTTGGAGCTCGATGAAGCGGTTCCGGAAGGCGCGCGAGAGCACCTTGCGACCGCCGTACAAGCCCGGCGGGTTCTGCGTCGCAAAGAGCATAAAGCGCGGGTGCGGCGTGATCGTCGTCTGCGTCTCGGGCACGTACAGCTCCCGGTTGTCGTCGAGGAGACGGTTGAGCGCCTCGAGCACTTCCGACGGCGCGAGGTTGAGCTCATCGAGGATGATCCACCAGCCATGACGGACCGCCTGTACGAGAACGCCCTCTTGGAACGTGAGCTTGCCGTCCGAGTCCGACACATACGCGCCGAGGTACTCTTGAATGTCCGTGTGCTCGTGGTTGTTGATACGAACGCACTTTTGACCGAGGCGCGCCGCGACGTACAGAATGAGCGACGTCTTACCCGCCGACGTCGGGCCCTGCAGGAGCAGCGGGTACTTGCCAACGACGACCGAGCGCGCGACGTGCCGCAGATTTTGCTCGACACTTGGCGTCAACACAAACTTTTTGAGGTTTGTGACCGGGTCCGGGATCGCGTCGTCGACCGGCGTCAGCTCGCCTTTCGGCACCCAGTACGAGCTCACGAGCTCGAATGTGTCGCCCGACTTGCGCGGCTTGGGCGGCGCCTGGTCGAGCTCCTTGGTCTTGATGTTGGGCGCAAACGTCTTCTTGATCGTCTTCATCATGATAGTCCGCGACATCGCATCGAGTTGCGTTGCGAACCCCATCGAGAAGCTTTCGTACAAGGCGCGCGGGAGGCTGTAGCCGCGCTGGAGCATCGTTTTGGTCATGAGCAGCGACCGCGTCAGCGTGCGGAGCGAGTACCGCGGCCGTTGGCGAGCGCCGTCGTTGAGCACATCGATCGCCATTTGCCGCGCGCTGAGGTAAAAGTTGACCGTCTCGGCCACGGGTGCATTGACCATCTCCTTCCACTGCTGCGACACGAGCAGCGTCAAGTCGCGCGGGCAGACGCACTCGTCGACGTACACTTGCGTGAATCGGTTGCGGAGCGAGGGCGGGAGGTCCTTCTTACCAACGTCGGTCGGCGGGTTCATGGCCGCAAAGACGCGAAAGTTCGGGTGCGGCTTGAGCACGTCGACGTCGCCGCGCTCGGTGAGCGACAAACCCGAGTGCTCACCTTCGAGGACGCTTGCGAGTCGCTCCAAGGTGTCGGCGCCCGCCAAGTTGATTTCATCGAGGAGGATCCAGTGGCCGGCCTTCATTGCCTGCACGAGCATGCCCTCGACGAACGAGAATGCAAAGCTCGACTCGACTTGCTGGTACTGGCGCTGAAACTTAGCGAGCGCGCTTCCAAACTGGGCCCACGTCAGCGCGCTCTCGTCGAGCTTCATCTTCTTGGCCTTGGCATCGGCCATCGCGATCGCCTTGGTCATGCCTTGCGTCATCTTCTTGTACTGCTTGGCCGAGAAGGCCTTCTGGATCGCATGCAGAAACGATGCGTTCGCGGACGACGGAAACGTCGACGAGAAGAGGTTGACAAAGTCCATGTACAGCGGCCGCGCGAGCTGGTAGACGTCCACGGGCTTGTAGCCGCCGAGCAGATCCGCGCTGTCGCTCTGCACGTTGAGGTTCTGTACGACGAGCGTCTGGCCCATGGCCGACGCGAGGTACTGGATCAGCGTCGTCTTGCCACAACCGGTTTCACCGACAAGCAAGGTCGGCTCGAACGTCGCGACCGTGGCCGCGAGCTGCTCCATGAGCCGGAGACAATGGCCGGTCAGTACAAATGGAATCTGGTGACCGGTCGTCGACGACTGCGACAGCGCCTGCAGCTGAACACGGCCGACGGTCACGGACGCGTGGTGCGGCACAAAATTCGGCCGGTGGTCGCGCAGCTGCGTCTCGACGACCTCGGGCTGCACCTGCCACAGCGCGCCGATCGAGATGGCGGCCGCGACACGCGCGTCCATGTCCCGGATGCCCATGCAAAAGATGTCCCACGCCTCGCGCGCGAGGTCGTCGCGCATCGCCTGCGTGAGGTACTGCCCGGGCTCAATGTGGCCGTGGAGCTTGATCACACGCGTGCACCACTTGAGCACATCGCGGAGCGAGAAGCCGCGCCCGTAGCTCTGGCGCGCCGCGCGCCAGACCGCCGAGCTCTCGTCTGTCACGAGCGTAAAGGTCCCGAGAATGAGGTCCGTCACATGGGCCGGGAGCTGCGGAAACTGCTTGGCCACCACGAGCGCGATCTCGTCCATGTGCATGGGCACGACCGGAATACGGTGCCAGAGCGAGAGCGGGAAGCCTTTCGGCATGGCCGAGATCGGCTTGCGGCTCGTCGCGAGTAGCTGGAAGCCCGGCGCCGCCGGCACGCGGTGACCGCGCACGAGCAGCTCCTGCGTCGTGAGCAGCGGCAGAAGCGCCGCCAGCACGTCCATGGACGCGCGGTCAATGTCTTCGATGAGCACCCACCGGCCTTCGGTCACCGCCTGCGTCAGCGCGCCCGGCTGCCACGTAAACTCGCCGGGAACGTCCGTGCACACGTACGACCCAAGCAGCGTCTTGCTGTCCATTTGATCGTCGAGGTGGAGCTCGACGAGGTCGCTATGGCCCGTGCGCTGTGCGAGCTCGCGCAAAATCGCCGTCTTGCCGGCGCCGTCGGCGCCCGAGACCAAGAGCGGGCGGCGCAGGCTCAGCGCAATCGCGAGCGACCGCAGCGCCGACACCGTCGACGGCGTCTCAATGAGCGCCGGATACGCGCTCTCGTGTTTGGTCGCGCGGAAGGGCACGAGGATGCCGCAAATATCCGTCAGCGTCGAGGGCAGCGGCGCGCCCGAGACCTGGTTCGTGGTCGTCTGCGAGAGGTGCGTCGGTCGAGGGGTCGAGGCCGGCATCGCCGCGCTGTCCATACGCGACAAGAACGCGTCGCGCGTCGCATTGTCCATGCGCAAGAGCAGGCTCGTCGCGCGCATGGCCTCGGCGCGCACGACGTGGTCGGCGTCCGCGCACAAGGCGTAGAACGGCGCCCAGTTCCACATGCTTAGGATCGTGTCGAGCTGCACGGACGCGAGGAGGCGCGCGGTCGTCGCGGCGCGGCGCTTCCGGCTGACCGACATGGTCTCAATGTGGTGGAAGAAGCACCGGCTTGACTCGAGCCACGGCTGCACGAGCGGCCAAATGCGCGGCGTGACCTGCAGCACGCGCGCAAACGTGAGCGAGAGGCGCTCGTGCTTGTTGTCGTCAAAGTCGCTCATGGTAAGGAGGCGCGCCGCGAGCTCGAGCAAGAACGGGCGAAACGCAGCGCAGATGGCGTCGCAGAGCTCGGCGTCGTCGGCCGCGAGAAGGCGCGCGAGGCTGTGGAGAGTAGAGGTGGCGTCGTTGGCGGCGGCGAGCGCCGACCGCACCTTGGTCGTCACGGCGGGCGACAGCGCAGCATGGTCGAGCTGCGTAAGGAAGCCAACGACCGCTTCGCCAAGATCGGCCATATCTTGAACTTGCGTGGTCCAGTAGCGGATTGGGACCAAACCAATCAACGCCCAACGCCATTTGATTGGTCCCGCCACATCCGGATACAATATCCGGATGTCGACGCCGAAACCGTGCGAAACCGGCCATCTCGCGAGAAAGGACAGTGCGATGAGTGTCGATAGTCCTTGAACAAGAATCCTTTACTAAATCTCATCTAGCCGGTATCCTGAAGGTCGAGGTACTGGAAGAGTTCCATGGGTACATGCAGTGGAGCAAGGACTATGTATGAGCCCATGGTGGCGCCAGGTGGCAGAGGGCGTCGGTCGACCACGCCTGGGTGCGAGACAGCATGATCCTAGAGAGCGCGACAACAAGCTCCACAAGTCGTCGCCAACGGCGTACTTCGCTAGGAAGACTCGCTAGTGTTGGGATATTGTACTACTGGGGAACCCAAAGGTAGCAGGAATGCAGCTTGATTCACGAGCTGTATAGTGTCGTGACTGCTCCGACTGGCGGCAACGGGACGCCATCGCACCGTGTCAAACCTAATCCATGTCCAAGCCACTTGATTGCAATCATTTCGAACGTCTCTGTACGCTCCGATGCTGTACATGGCAGTGACCTACGATACCGATCAAGGACGAGGCGCTTCGGGAGGTTCACGCACGCAGTGACATAAAAGGCATCAAATCAGCCAAGCTCGAGACCAGAAGAAATGCTCGCTCGCTTCAAATGCAGTCACGCGGCGGATGGCGTGTGGGCAATGGCTGCCGGCAGCAAGGCCGATGGTGTCGATGGAATAGTATGGTCAAGGGATTGTTAGTTGACGAGCTTCCTACATCGAGCCTGCTCCTTCTTCTCGCTCGTCCATCGTATGTTGTACAACGCTAAGCGTAGACTGGAAGGCTGATCGAGCATGCAAGGCCGGGCTGGCTCTGAGCGATTCTTGCTACTCTACGACGCGCGATGGCCGGTACCGCCACAACGCGCGACCGTGTACCTTCCTATAGTACATTAATGTGGCTAGCTCGTAAGCCAACGCTACGCAATCCCTCGCACCACTGGCCGAAAGCGCCCGCCCAACACGTCGCGTGGGCAGGGGTTGTGTGGTCTTGGCACGTCCAAGAACACAGACCAAGCAGAATCAAGTGCATATCAAGGAGCAAGCCACTTCAACATACAACATTGAAGATCATGGTTAAAGTAAAAGTTCAAAGCTTACCTCCTTTTCAAAGCTAACCATCTAGTCATTCCGTTTGACATTTGCCATCAAACGCTCACACAAACACAGGTTGGTGTTGCTGGATTGTCGTGGCATCGCCAGAGCGCTTTTAAATGTCATTTATTTTATATGTGCTTTTTATAGCTTTCTTCTTCATAGACATATGTCAAGTAAAATGTAAACAATTTGATATCAAACATGCTGGCTTTATTGACTATAAGACCATCACTCCGAATTGCACTTTCCAGCAGAAGGAACTGCTGCAGAAGCAACTGCTGACAGCCCGCATCGATACGCGTTGCAACTCATTTTACAATTGACCATGTTCGGCTCGAGCAACTCCAACAGCTTCTACCCGCCGTCGCCTGCGTTTCGCCAGCCCAATTCAGCGGCGGTCACGCGGGTCTCCAGCATGACAGCCGACCCTGCAGCCCGCCGCTGGGCCAGCGACAACGGCCTTGCGATCATGAACGTCTCGTGGGAAGACGCCGCGCGCAACAAGCACAGCGCCTACGGGCCCTGCATCTCGGACATGACGCTCGTCGTCGAGAACACGTGGATGCCCGTGCTTCGCGTGCCCAACTTTTCAGATTCCTTTTCTCAATGTAGCAACGCAACACTCAACTCCAATCTCTACGCTAGATCCGATCATGAGCATCCCAACGAGCAAGATCATGGTGACTGTCGGGAACGAGTCGCCCCACGACGTGCCATTGACCAAGATCTCGCTGCAAGAGTACCTCAGCAACATCCACAAGTACACGGAGCTCGAGCGCAGCATGTACGCGCCAGCGCACGACCACCAAGCCCTCGTACGTCTGCCATGTCTGGAACTCTAGGCACTCACCTCTTAATTTATAGGTGAGCACCCAAGCGTGCTTTTTGCCGATCGAAGAGGCGACCGGGAAGGCCGAGTTCCACGTCGGTTTGACCAACTACCAAGCCCGCGAGAACGATCCTGCCGTCCTCGTCCTCGTCTGCACCGACACTGGCACCAGGTAATGCCTACGATCGGCAACCTGGATCGAACCACTCATTTCTGTACCTGGCACTAGTGCTCAAGTCATGACGCAGCGCAGTGCGACCTTGTTTTGCAACAACAAGGGCAGCAAGCACACGTTTGTCGCGGAGCGGCTCTCGACCGACCGCGCCAAGCGGGGCGTTGCGACCACGGGGGCCATGACGGAAGCCGAAGAGGCGCGCAACTACGTCATGCTCGTCCAGATCCCGCTCGAGCAAAAGCTGCAGCCAGCGTTTAGCTTTGGTGGCCCGACCACCGGCGGCTTCGGCGGCTTTGGCGCCTCCCCTACCCCGGGCGTTTTTGGCAGCGCGCCCTGTATGGCTTTTGGGGCCACGCAACAATGCAACATGGCCGCGACCTCCTTTGGTATGCCAGCCGCGCCGAGCTTTTCTTTTGGTGCTGCCGTTCCGTCGACGCCCAACGTCGAGGCCGCGATGGTCGGCCTCAGCGACGCCAAGGGTCCGTTCCCGAAACTCAGCGCTTTCAGCCACGTCCGGCGCAACGCCAAGTACCCGATCCGCGTCACGGTGCAGTTTTACCAAGCGACGAGCAACGGTGTCGTCTCGGCCGAGATTATCCAAGACCTCGCCAGCAAGATGGACCACGTCAAGACCAACGCAACCTGGTGGGGCTCGCTCGTGACACCCGGCTCGCCGCCGCCGATCTTCGGCAGCTCGATCGTCCACCCCCACGCCGGCGTCAACTGCGACATGTGCCGGTCCGAAGTCATCACAGCGCTGCGCTACAAGTGCGCGTTCTGTGCCGACTATGACGTCTGCGCCAACTGCATTGAGCGCGCCGACACGCAGCACCCGCATCCGTTTCTGCGCCTCACCAAGGCGTCACCGGCTTACGGCGCCAAGACGTACGCGGTCATGAACCGAGCGACCGTGTCCCATTACGTGGCATGTTCGTCGTGCACGGCGAATATCGTGGGCGTGCTGTACCAGTGCACGCACTGCCCCAACGTCCGCTTGTGCGAAGTCTGCGAGGCGACGACGGGCCATGGGGACTTCCAGCACCCGCTGATCAAGATCTTTCAGGCGGCAATCTAATCGCAGGTTGGAGCACTATCTTTCTCGATCCTATATAAGACGTTTTCCACTTGATCATGTTTGTGTTTGTGTTCGGAATGTCGATGTGGTCACTGCACATGGCATTCGAGATGGCGAGGAGCGGGTCGTTGGAAGCTGTCGTTAAATGGACTGTCCCTTGTCTGCTTTCGGAAGGACCAAACATGTACATCGTGTTGGATGTGTTAGAATATTGCACGAGAAACTAGGCACATTGGACGCAACAGGACGATGTGACAGAGAATCGCTCGTCATCGCTGCTGCACTCATTCGACGAGCTCGTTCGTGGTCTTCAGCGTTGCGCCGGCAGCTGCGAATGCCTTGTTGTGGGCGTCAATGACGGGCGACGCGTCGACAGCGACGTCATTCTCAAAGCGCCACGTCGAGTGGGCGTCAGCGACGACAGTCACGTCATAGTCGAGACCGAGTGCGCCCAAGGTCGTGGCGTTGACGCAGCAGTCGGTTTGGGCGCCGAGGAGAACGAGGCGCGAGACGCCGGCATCCCGAAGCCACTTGGCAAGCGCATGATTGCTAAACGCATCGGGGACGGTCTTGGAGAACGTCGGTTCGGTCGCTTCGTTTTGGCCGAGCGCCGGCCAGACATGCCAGCCCGGCGCGCCTGGCGCCATGGCGCCTTCGTCTTCTTCATGGCGGATAAAGGCCACGGGCATGGCTTCGCGCCGCGCCCACGCGAGGATGCGCTTGGTGTTGTCGACGAGGCTCGTCGCGTTGTGGATCGGGACGCTCACGACGCCATCAAACATGATGGCTTGCAGATCAATGACAAGGATGGCCGTCATTAGGTACACAGTGATCGAAAGGAGGGCAATTGAAGAATGCAACGGTAGCCGTCGACAAGGATGCCCTCGTGTTCCCGCTTGTTCGTACGTGGCCGGCGCGCGAGCGCGGGAGAGCGGTGTTGCGCCGCAGCGCGCGAAACACATCAAGTGGTCCGTATCCGGATGTCTGGCTTTTCCCACCTTGCACTTGGCATGGAAAGCTCGTCCTATTATACTTAGCGTCCCTCTAGCGTACTGAGCTCGAGATGGAGGCTCGCCCACACGATTAGAGATGCTCGATGGACGCCATGCCTGCGCTGTCACCTTCCACGATCGAAAGAGCGTCCCTGTGCCCGCAGATCCCAGCCCTTCGACATTGGCAACTGGTGGCTTCGAGCTTCGCATTTCGAATTTCGGCGGTTCATACAATTATCCGGAAGATCGCATTTGGTCATGACCTTTCGCAAGATGCTCGGCGGGTGGTGGCTCCTGGCCCTGCTTGGCCTCGCGCTGCGCAGCGAGGGCCATACGTTCCTGCGCCGCGAGGACGAGTCGCTTGGTATGAATGCCACGCTTTGCGGCGAGCCCGAGGCCCACCACACGGGCTATTTGAACGGTCTTTTCTACGTCTTTTACGAGACGCGGGCCCCGATTCGGGCGCCGACTGACGTGCCGCTCGTGCTATGGCTCTCGGGCGGACCGGGCTGCTCGGGCATGATCGCGATGCTATTTGAGCATGGGCCATGTAGCGTCAACCAAGCGACGCCGACAGCAACGCTCAACCCGTACTCGTGGACGCAAGCCGCGCACATGATCTACATCGACCAGCCGCGCGGCACGGGCATGAGCCCTTCCAAAGACGCGTCTAGGTAGACATGCCTTCCTACCTAGCAGGTCACTGAAGTGCTCTAGTTCGTGGACAGAGTCGTCGGCGATGCGCGACTTGGTTATCTTCATGGAAGGGTTCTACCAGACGTATCCCGCGTACGCAGCCAACGACTTGTACATCTTTGGCGAAAGCTACGGAGGCCACTACGTGCCCGACTTGGCGCATGCGATTGTATCGTCGACCAACTCGAACACGCGCGACCTCCGGCGCAACCTCAAGGGCATCGGCATCGGCAACGGCCTCGTCTCGGAGCGCGCGATCGCCGACACCATTGGCACGTATGCTTCGACCGCGCTTGAGCTCACTGACTCGACCACGCCGAGCGTCGAAGCGTGTGATGCTGCTATTGCCGCGTGCCAATCGCCCGAGAACGGCGGCGTCCGCGATTGCTCCACGGTACGACCATGAGCTCTCTGCACCATAGCGCTTATCGTGACGCAGGCAGGCATTTGCGAGTCGCTTGTCGGTGGCATTATATCGCAAGCGCACCAGCAGCGCATCAACCACTACGATATCCGCGCGCCGTGTTATCCCGACGTCTTTGGCTTGTGCTACAAATTTACGCCGCTCTTTCAGTTTATGAACAAGGCGTCGACGATCGACGTCCTTGGTCTGGATCGCAGCGTCTCGTGGGCGCCGTGCAACCAAGATGTGTTTGCCTACCACATGGTTTACGAGAGTATTGTCCTCTAAATTGTCTTATAGGACACTTGTAGGACGCGGATTGGTACGAAGAGAGCGAGTACAAGGTCGCGGCGCTGCTCGCGGCCGGCATCCGCGTCCTAGTCTACGCCGGCGACTACGACTTGGTGTGCAACTGGATGGCCCAAGACAAGTACAATTCGATTGGTGGTGGCCAAATGATGACATTATTGTACATTGTAGGTGGACACGCGATATGGTATGGGCCAACCAGACGCAATTTGCAGCGCAGCCCTTGGCGCCGTGGTCCTACGACGGCGAGTTGGTCGGCGAACGCCGGTCGTTTGGCGGGTTGACCATGCTGCGTGTCTACAACGCTGGCCACGTACTGTGATGATTCGATCGCCTCAATTCGCACGTTTATCATGTGTAGATGGTCCCATTCGATCAGCCCAAGGCGGCGCTTGGCCTCTTCCGCTCGTTTCTGGCCGGCCACTAGAGCTCCCGTCAGCGTGTCGAACAACCTGTCAGCTGTCTACCTTCCTGCACAGTTCTCAGTCCTTGCATTATCAAAAGTTGAATGTCCTTGCTATCTTGTCTCATTGAGGGTTCTTATGGAGCAGAATCGCAAACACGCAGAGTATAACTACGACGACCTTTCGATCGCATCGCTGACGTCGAAGCTGTCGCCTGCAACGTTGAACTGTGTTCTGGTACAGATGTTGAAATGTGAGCGGCTAAAATATATACAATCATGTATCCCAACCACCTTGACTAAAAACTGGGAAGATATACATCATCATCGTCTCAAGACGCCCAATTCTACTGCAGGGACGGTACGAGTTCGACGTTGGCGCCGGGCGTACAGAGACGCGCCATGGGGTACAGGACGACGCCGTCGGGAACCCCGCGGAGCTTGGTGGGCAAGAGCGACCCGTGGATCGCAAAACCAATGCTGTGTTCGTCTGGGAACCACGTCACGGTAAGGAGCACGGTGCCTTGGGTGTTGGGACTCACGCCCGCACTCTTCGGTCGCTGGAGGTGCGAGTACACTTGCCGCGTCTCGCAGTTGAAGAACCAGCCGCGCGACGCGCTGTTGGTTGCGTGGGGAGTTGGCGCAAAGGCGTCTCGAGCTAAAAAGAGAAACCCGACTTCGACGCGACTGCCAAGGTCGACGTGTACTGCGAACGTTGTCGCAGGGGCGGAGGCGAGGACGTTGCCCCACCCGGATGTCGTCTGCCGCGCGTTCGTTTGCACGGCGAGGAGCTCGATCGACTTCGAGCAATGAGCCGGGTCCCACGCGAGAGGCGCCAATTCGGGTGCCGACGGCTCGGGCAGCACGTCGATTTGAAGGTAGTCAAGCATCTCTTGTAGCTCGACCAGTTGCCTCGTCGAGAGTCCGTCTTGGTCGAGGGCACCCGTGCGCAGTAGCTTCATCACCCGCGGAAACAGGGTTGGATCCAAGTCCAAAAAATACTCGCCTACCGAGGTTCGTTGTCTGTACCAATTGCCAGGCCGAGAGAAAGATGGCGCGTTACCTTTCTCATTGGGCTGCCAGTGGTCACAGGAGAGCATTGCGTCAAAGTAGCTGCCAGGCATGCGCAGCAGCGTCTCGCGCGCGGTCGTAAACAGCCTCCCGCCGACGTTGAGCGTGACGAGCTTGACGTCTTGGTCGTGCTTGAGGCGATGCGTCTGCAGCGCAAGCACCTCGGTCTTGAGCTCTTGTAGCACGTCGAGTTTGGCTTGGACGCGCGTCGCCTGGAGCTGTAGCGCCGCGTCCTTGGCAGCAAAGTCGCGCACGAGAACTTCCATCTCGAGCGCGATCGCCCGCAGCGCCTCGACGTTGGCAGGCGCATCAATAGCTTCTTTCAACGACGCCTGCAGTGACGCCCACGTCGCCATCACGTTGCTGTCGACCATCGGAAGCGGGCGTATGACTCTGGTACTGCGACACCTGACACCTGCCTGCTGCTGTCGGTGGCGGAATCCGGATATATTGGTGCATATCCGTATATGACGTGGCATGCGGAGAGCGCATTTTTGTACAGTCGACTCTGCCTAAGTGCATAGTGTATATTTCATGCGTTTTATAGGGTTATCAATTGTGAGAGTCAAAATATAAATTCGTGATTTATATTATTGTGGAAGGCTGGTGCGAGCCGCGCCACCGTGTGCACATGCATGAGGCTCAGTCCTGGGCTTCCTCTTGGCCTTCCTCGTCAACGTAGCACACGAAGTCGCAGATCTCGCCGACCGTCAAGTGGCGCGCCAGGGCCAGCTCGTCAGCGGTTAGCATGTCGAGGGGTATGGAGAGCGCTTGAGCACCGACCGACAGCGCGCCCATTGTGGCACGGAGCTCGTCCATTGCTGTGATTGGGTTGGTTGTCGCGCCATTGGCAGCGGGTAAGATGTATGTGTGGCCCTAGCAATCGGCCATCGTCTCTTGCTTCACCTTGCCCCATGCCGTGAGCACGAATTTTTATTCAAATTGATGCTATAAAATATTTTGGGACAGTATGTATCACCGCGAGAGGATTATAGAGTTTCAGTGGTATGCACTATGGCAGAGTCGGCTGTAGAAGAAAGTCACGCATTGAGGTTCTACAATGTCAAACACAAGAGGCTTTCTGCGACCCCCGCGTATTCAAGTCTAGTGCTTTTATCGTCTTGCTAATATAGTTTACTAATAGTGCACCAAGCATTGTGTACTATTGTGGCATGGTCGCGTCGGCTGATGAGCTCATCGTTGGGGCGGCCATTCGATCTCGAGATCGTCGAGCATATCGTGGAGCTCGGTCTTCTCCATGTGCGAGAGCCCTTCCGTGTCGAGCGGGTTGGCCGTGCGAAGGAGTCGGAGGACGCGAGGAAACAAGTCTGGATTCATATCCAAAAAGTACTCGCCTGCAACCAAGACACCTTGTCTCCAGTATTGGATTGAAGGGTGGTGTGGTACCGTCGCAGTTGGGCGGCGACGACTAGAGCGTCTCGAAGAAGCCGCCCCGCGCCAGAAGCGTGTGGTTCGCTGTCATGAAGCGCGTGCCGCCGACGTTGAGTGTCACGATGCTGCTTGTAGCCACCATTGCTGCTCGATAGAGATCTATTTCAATTGCGTAACTGCGAATCTAAAACATCCGGTGTGCGTCGGCTTCGAGCTCGGTGACCAACTGGACTTGGGCATCGATGCGCCTCCTGCAGGCGCATTGCGTCCTCCTTGGCGATGACGTCGGCTACGATTGCGTCCATTTCATCACAAACCTCGCAATTTTCGTCCCGGTGGCGACGCTTGACAGCCGGGGTGCGCATCCACGTCTCGCGAGTCAAGACCTGCCGATTGGTGGGTTGGTAGACAGTACCATGTTCGTTGACAACGCCACTGGCGGCGCTCGCCTCTGGCGCTGCCATGCTGTCGTCGCTAGGCGATGAGCGGCGGTCGAAGGCGGTGCAGCAACCGAGGTGCGATGTGAGCCGCGTCATCGAGTACGAGACCGACGCGCCGCACTGCTTGCAGAGCGCTCGCGCTGTGGACGGTGGCTTGGACTCGTCGTGCGCCGGCGTGATCGGCTCCGGGCCTTGAGCGCGCTGACCTCGGCGACCGGATGACCGGATACCGAAAAATGCTCATCATTTCCGAACCCAAGCCATTGCAATACGTAGACCTGTCCGCTGAGCTTGGTGCAATCCGCAATATCCATCGATCCCATTAATCCGAGCACCCTATGTTGTGGAGAATATTGTTTTCCTAATGATAGACTAGTAGATGTCTAACTTGTCGACACCAGTCCTTGTTCTTGGACGGGAATTAGCCGCACGTTGGATCCGGCGGAGAAAAGACGCACGGTCGGATACAAGTTGACATCGCTGACGACGTTGTGCAGGCTCGTGGGGAGCAGCACGCCGTCGACCGCAAACGAAATCCGTTGCTGGAGGCGGTGCCACGTCACTTGAAGCAATGCAAGCCGTGGCACCTTGGTATCGAGGAGACCATTGGATCGAGGCTCGTCGTGCGAATAGACTGTTGCGTTGCGACAGCTGAAGAACCAGCCGCGGGTCGCATCATTGCGGTCGGGCACCGGCGACGTCTCGTCGAGATGCGAGAGGAATCCGACTTCAACGGCGTGGACACCGAGATGCACGAGCACTGCGAACGTTGTCACCGGATGCGACGCGACGACACTGGCCCAGCCACGACTTGGGTGCTTGGCAAGCATATTGCCGTCCGCTAGTTGAATTTGCTCCGAGCACCGACGCGGGTCCCACTGCAATGACATGATCGGTGCAGAGGGCGCTGGTGCCGGACTCTCAATCTGGATCTGGAGGTAGTCGAGCATCTCCCGGAGGTCCGCTTCTTGGTTGATAGTGAGTCCCTCGACATCCAGTCTGCCCGATCGAAGGTACTTGATCACACGTTTAAACGTACTCGCGTCCAAGTCCAAAAAGTACTCGCCTACCGAGAATCGTCGTCGGTACCCATTTCCACAGAGAGAAATGTGACGTTCTACCTTTCTCATTTGGCAGCCAGTGATCCGATGAGAGCATCGCGTCAAAGTAGCTGCCTGGCATGCGCAGCAGCGTCTCGCGCGCGGTCGTAAAGAGCGTGCCACCGACGTTGAGTGTGATCGTCTTGGCTGGCGTAGGGAGACGATCGATGGAATCGTCTGCGTCTGGCTGGCGTCGATGGTTCTCAGCCTTTAGCTCCGCCAGCAGCTCGAGCTTGCCGTCGATGCGCGCTTCTCGCTCTTGCAGGGCCGCTTCGTGCAGCCGCAATGCTTCTTCCTTGGACGCCACGTCCGACGCAATCGCAGACAACTCGTCTATGAGCTTGCAGAGTGCGTCCGACGGCGTCTCGTCCAGCAGCGTCGCCACCGAGGCTTGCAGCGCAGCGCAGCGGTCGTGCAAGGTTAGACCGTCAACCATCGTGTCAAACTTGGTAAAGTTTCTGCTTCGCATCCCGAAGGTCGCCGGTTCGAGCCCGGCTGCGCGCGCGCATTTTTCAGTTCTCCGCCCCCCTCCTCCCTGCGTCGCGCGATGTACCCGAACAGGGCCGAACCATGTGGGTCCAGGCCACCTCCGCAAGTGTCACCCAGAACACATGAT